CCTTAGTCAATCTGTTGACCACGACCCAGATAGCATCGTGGTGTTCAGACGACCTCGATAATCCTGTGACGAAATCCATCGTGACTTCCTCCCACTTCCATCTCGGAATCGGTAGTGGTTGCAGGAGGCCGATCGGACTCTGATGTTCGGCTTTGACTTGCTGACAGGTAAAACATCTCCTGACGAACTCGGCAACGTCCTTCTTCATCCCTCGCCACCAGAACGCCCCTTTCAGGTCGTGAGCCTCTGACAATATCTCCTTCCGCAACGCCTCGACTTTCGGGACCACGATCCTGCCCCTGAACTCCAATGCTCCGTCTGAACCTAGCTGAAAACCTTCGACTCCTCCGGCACGAAATTTGCAATCCATGACCCGAACGAACTCGTCCGAAGCCTGTTCCCACCGGATTCTGTCTCTCAACGTCGGCTGAATCTGCATGGCACTGATACTGGCACTGACACCACCCGAAATAGCTGTGGGAAGTGCATCGACCGCCTGAATCTGCATTTGGGCGAACTCCTGAATCAACGGACTCTGCTGAGTAACGACGTACGTCAAGTCACCCCTCACCTTTCGGCTTAGGGCGTCAGCAACGACGTTCGCCTTCCCCGGATGATACTGAATCGAGCAATCGTAATCCTTGACGAGCTCGAGCCAACGATGCTGTCTCATGTTGAGCTCCTTCTGCGTAAAAATATACTGCAGGCTCTTATGATCTGTAAAAATCTCGCAACGACCGCCGTAAAGATAGTGTCGCCAGATCTTGAGAGCATGAACAACTGCGGCTAACTCCAAGTCGTGCATCGGATAGTTCTGTTCGTGTGGCTTGAGCTGACGTGACGCATAGGCAACGACCTGGCCGTCCTGCATGAGTACACATCCCACTCCCTGCTTTGAAGCATCACTGAAAATGGTGAAACTCCGAGAAGGATCGGGAATAGTCAACACCGGTGCTGAAGTTAATCTCCTCTTGAGCTCCTGGAAGCTCAACTCACATTGGTCAGTCCACTCGAACTTCACAGACTTCCTCGTCAGCTGGGATAGTGGGAGGGCAATCTTGGAAAAGCCCTCGATAATCCTGCGATAGTAGCCAGCTAAACCGAGAAAACTGCGAACCTCGGACGGACTCTTCGGTGTCGACCAGTTCTGAACAGCTGAGACCTTAGAAGGATCCACCTCGATGCCTGCCTGAGTAATCACATGACCCAGAAAAGCTACTCGCTGGAGCCAGAACTCGCATTTGGAGAATTTCGCATATAATTTTTCTCGTCTGAGGGTTTCGAGAACAACCCTCAGATGCTCCTCGTGCTCCTTCTGGCTCTTCGAGTAGATAAGAATATCATCAAAAAAAATAACAAAATGATCGAGGTAGGGATGGAAAATACGGTTCATCAGGTCCATGAAAACCGCTGGAGCATTACTGAGGCCGAAAGGCATGACGACGAACTCGTAATGGCCGTAACGAGTCCGGAAAGCGGTCTTGGCAATGTCTGACTCCTTGATTTTTTAGCTGGTGGTAGCCTGATCGCAAGTCAATCTTTGAGAACACACAGGCTCCCCTCAACTGATCAAATAAGTCGTCGATCCATGGAAGCAGATACTTGTTCTTGATCGTCAACCGATTAAGATCCCGATAGTCGATACACATACGCATGGATCCGTCCTTCTTCTTGACAAAGAGAACGGGTGCTCCCCAAGGTGACACGCTCGGTCGGATGAAACCGAGTCGTAATAGCTCCTGAATCTGCACCTTAAGCTCCTGCAACTCCTTCGGCGCCATACGGTATGGGGCTTTGGATACTGGGCCGGCTCGTGGAATGAGGTCAATAGAGAACTCCACCTGCCGGTTAGGCGGTCCTTCTGGAAGCTCGTCTGGGAACACGTCCACAAACTCACGAACAACTGGAACATCGTGAAGTGATCGTGCTTTCTGAGAATCATCGACAAGGCTCACCAGATAACCCTGCCAGTTGCCTCGTCGCAGCAACTTGGTAGCTTTCGCCATTGAAACAACATGAGGCAATGAACGATTCCGGGTGCCAAATAAAGTAATTGAATCATCTCCCGGAAGATAGAGATTAATCTCCCGGTCATGACATCGGATATTTGCATGATACAAGGATAGCCAATCCATCCCGAGAATGAGGTCAAAGTCCCTCATCTCAAGAACATACGCGTCGGTAGACAATGAACGACCACCGATGGAAAGGCTGAGATCTGAAGCTTTAGCTGAAGTCACTATCTTTCGTCCCGAGGCTAGACTCACCTCGAGAGGATCGACAGCGGTAATGGAATAAACTCTGATGGCATCAAGACATCGTCGTGAGATAAAGGAGTGCGTCGCTCCAGTATCGAATAAACCAAACACAGGAACATTATTTAACATGATCATCCCTGACATAGTACCTGGTTGCTGCTCGGCCTCGACCTGATCGACTGCATAAACTCGGGCCTGCTGTCTGCCCCTCTGCTGCTGCTGCTGGGGTGGCCTTTGAGACTGCTGAAGGGGTTGCTGCTGCTGCTGCTGCTGCTGTGGCTGCTGAGGCTGCTGGGGCTGCTGTGCCTTCTTCGGACAACGGTTAGCGAAGTGTCTGGGCTCGTGACAGTAATAGCATATATCCTGGCCGAAGCGACACTAGCCTCGGTGAAGACGTCCGCATGTGGGGCATTGTGGAACCTGCTGTTGCCTCTGGCGAGTCCTCCTGTCGGTCTGTGCGCCCTTCCCTTTCATCTTCTTCTCCCTCGTCGGCTGGGTAGCTGGTAGGGCTGGTGGAGCTGTGGATGACTGGGCGGGGGCGGATGGCTGAGAACGATCACGAATGGCCTCCCTCTTGATGCTGGCGTCCACCTCCTGGGCGATCGAAATAGCACGAGCATACGTCTGTGTCCCGTGACCTACAATATTGTGACGGACTACTGGTAAAGCCCGTCAATGAAGCGCTGTGCCCTCTGTGCCTCCGTACAAACCAGGTCCGGAACAAAAGCTGCAAGTCTGGTAAACTCTCTCTCGTACTCGTCAACAGATCGAGTACCCTGTTTGAGCAACAGGAACTGCCGCTCAATCTCTGCTCTGTAATAGGTGGGGTAGTACTTCTCGCGGATCAGCTCCTTGAGCCTATCCCATGTACATCCCTCCTTCTCACCGGGATGCATGCTCTAGTAGGCATTCCACCAGAGTCGGGCATCGCCGGTTAACTAAAGCTGAGCGCAGATAACACGATATCTGTCTGGACAATCCATGACCTCGAAGATCAACTCAAGGCCCTGAATCCACTCGTCTACGATACGGGGGTCTCCCTGCTCGGAGAATTTCTCAGCATGATAATCGAGAAACTGTGCGACTACTGTGGCCTGGGGAAGAACCGGGTGATCGGGTTCCCTACGAGGCGGCATCTGAACATTGAGGAAGTTCAACATTATTGAACACATGAAAAATATTCTGACTGATTTCTAAAGTACACAGATCTCTTGACGAGTTGCCAAAAATGGCTGGAAAATACTGATATAGATCCTGAAGAAGTCTAGAGTTATATCTGAGTACACTGAATTCTAAAGTCTGATCCTTATTCGAGCATCTTAACTAAGTCATGATTAATAATTTCTTAGCATAGGCAAAGTAATATGTTTATAACTGAAAACATAATCAGCACTTACCTGTAGTCGGCGAGGCGTGAGCGTGACGGTTCAGGTTTTTCTAAAAATTTCTGACTCGTAAAACTTTTCAGAGACACAGAAACATGCTCTGATACCAATTGTAACACCCCGCTATTTACTGAAATCAGAGTACGCTTTTTCGCAATTTTTCTAAATAAAATAAATAAAATATTTCTTTTTGCGAAAACTGATTCGGAGTGTTACCGTAAAAATCTGACTTTTATGAAAACCGTTAATTTTAAACTTATAATAAAAACAGTTATACAATATATTAACCGACTAATGTCGGACAAAAATTGGTTTAAAGTACTAAAACTGTAGCGGAAACGTTAGCGTAGCCAAAACATAATATGTACATATAAACAAATATCCTGAACAGCTCGTCAGCTCACTCCTCGTCCCCGACTCTGTGACCTGAAAAACATGAAATACGTGGGGGCGTGAGCTCTAAAACACTGTGCTCCACAGAAACTCATACTAAAGTAAAACAGTGAATATAATAACAATATCATGATCCTGGCATATATAACTGAACTGATACTGAAACTGAAAACTGATAACTGATACCGGTACTGAATAATCTGATACTGATCTCGTGATATAAATCATCTGACTGATAACTGAACATCTGCCGGCATAGCCGGACACCATGTGCACACTCTAGTGGGCAGATTAAGGCCACTAGAACTCAGAATAAACCGGCGACCATTCTGAGCGGATACTGATAATACATACCTCAAACATGGTAGCGTAATTATAATCATTGTAGTACTTAGTCTGAGTCCCCACCTGATCCGTGAAAATGAAGGTAGTGCTGATGTCTGATCAAACTGAAATATAATATAAACAATTACTAAGGACTATGCTCAGACTTATAATTTAACTGATTAATTATGTTAAGATGCTCTACTAGACTCAACATGATATTCGAATTTAATCGGTATAACTGGAACTGGTTAAATGCAGAACTGAACTGATATAAATTTACTGAACTGAACTGGACCCGGAATTTTAACTGAAGATGGTACTGAAATCAAGAACCGGAACTAAAACAATAAAATATGGACTGAACCGGTCCAGCCGGTCTGAACCAGGCTGAACCGGTCTGGACCGGATCGCCGGTCTACTGAACCGGACGGTCGGGCGCTGGCTCGGCCAGCAGGCCTGCCGAGGCTGCGCGCGCAGGTGC